ACTCAGATCAAGAAAGAGAACACCACCAGAATCTCAGAAGCCCCATGTACTCTTCTCCAAAAACAATCCTGTTCCCCTCCTTTAGGGAGCCTCCCACTTTACTAACTCTTGTCATAAACATTTTCTAGCTCTTCCTTGTAGTGTTACCACCTGTGAAGGCATACCGAGCTATTATGTTTTGATTTTGCATTTATTTAATGAAAGTGGCACTGTGTATGTGTTTTGTGCCTTGCTTTTTTCGCCAGATATTAGGTTTATGAGATGGGTCCCTTACTTTGCTTGTGAAACTTTTCTTTCTATTCTCAATTCTCTCTTTGCACTAACCTGCTTGTAGGTAATTCCCAAGTACCTTTGTTTATTTATTTTTTATTGTAGAAACAACACTTAACTTTGAGTCTGCCTTCTTAAATTATTAAGTATACAATACAGTATCGTTAACTGAAGGCACTACACTGTACCGCAGACATCTAGAAATCAGTCATCTTGCATGACTGAAACTTCACACCCACTGAATAGCAACTCCCCATTTCCCCCTGCCTCCATTCTCTGGCAACCACCCTTCTACTCTGCTTCTATGAGTAGACTATTTTGGATACCTCATCTAAACGGAAACCTACAGTGTTTCTCCTTCGATGACTGACTTATTTCACTTAATATAATGTCCTCAAGGTTCACCCATATGGTCACATATGCGAGAATTTCCTTCTTTTTTAAGACTGAATAATATTCCATTGCCTGTATATACCACAGTTACTTTATCCATTCATTCAACCCCATCAGCATTTCTTTCTCTCTTTGCTTTACTATTTGAATTTGAATTGCCTTTGATCTGTCTGATAATGTATGTTCTCCATTTTTCTTTTTTCAGCTACTTTATCATTTATCAACACATATGTTCATAAATCTCTACAATAAAGACACCATATCAATTTCTAAAGCAATTTTGATTCCCATCTAATCCTTAAATATGTAATTTATCACCTTCCCTCATCACTTTATTTTTCCTTCCTTGTTTTTCTTTTACTTCTTGCCTATAGAACAATCTGAGACTGAATATATTTGGGTAATTAGTATAGACCTTTTACAAGGTAATTAGTAGAGCATCTCTTATAAGGTGATTAGTAGGCAATCTATTATAATATATTATTTAATACATATGTTTTCTGCGTTTGTATTCTGAGCTCCTAAAAAAGGGAATAAGAGAGTTTATATACAGTATAAAACTAAAGTATCCAACTTTTGTACTTTAAGTATTCTTTGTACTGAAGACAGTTACTGTTCATGAATTAAGTTTATTTTTAAGCCTGTGTGAGAAGAAAGCATAATTGTTCTCTTTAAATGGCCAAGCTTTGCAACAGCGGAGACAGCATAGACTGTGATTGGTTGAATTGAGTAGATTTCCTTTATACTTGGCTCAACTGGGGCTCCACAATTAGTGTTGTCCTTTCGATAACCTACATGTTATACTTGTATTTTTCAAATAAAAAGAAAAGGATTAATTTACAGTTTTTGCTTTGAGGCTGTGATTTCAGAAGTATGTCAGATATATGATTCTTGAATAGTGGAAATAAATTGGTCAATTGCAATATTGAGATTTCACATACAACTGTCACAAAATTAGGGAAGTATTTGCTGTATATTTTCTGTTCTTTGGTGGTATTTGGGAAAAAAATTTCTTGAAAAAATTTGCTTCAGAATGAAAAATATTCTTAGTTTTTCTCTTTTTCATCAAATACTCCATTGTTATTATCCTGTTTGGCAAAAATAAGTGTGCAATATTTCAGGAAATCAAGTTGAGCCCCATGATTGTACTACAGCAGGGTATCTAGAGGATGTAGCATATGTCACCCCATATGTCCTTTATGTGTTTTATATTCTGAGAACACTGGGATGAACCATGTCCTTCGAAGAGGGTGACATAGTTCCCGTTACTGTGGAAGCCCGTGTGGGTTGGCAGGCGGAGGTGGGGCATTGTTGGGTTTTTGTAAGAAGTATCTGAGGGTAACTTGATTTTCACATTGTGATGACTTTGTTTCTTTCCCTTTCACTTGCTTCCTAGCAAACATATAATCTAATTATAGTCATACCATAGCATGTTTCATAATATGCGCAAGTAAATCTACACACATAAAAAAAATTTGACCTAAATAATTTTCATTATTTAAAATTAACATTTTAATTTCACTATATTTTTTGCCAAAAAAGCCTAAATGCTAATAATAAAACAAGACAAAATTTGCTATTAATTATGATAAAAAATTATTAAACCTTTATATTTCCCATATATGTGAATAAAACAGAGTAGCATTATCCAAATATAAATGTCCGTTTAAAAACTGACTTTGTAATCTCTATGACTATTTAAAATAATAAATGTTTTAATATGCTTTTGTTAAAAGACAAAAACTGTTTTGTGATATGAAAGCAATTCAGTCTAATTCTGTTTGTCACCTTTAAATAAGCAATACCCATGTGTTATGCTGGAAATGAGAGTTGTAGTTATGAGCTCAGAACCTTCTAGCCCCAAACACCCAGATATTTAACTGCTGTATGTGGGCTATTAACTGACTTTTTCTGCATTGCTTCTGAATGCTTGGCCTTGTATACACTGAATCTTAGACTCACACACAGTTCAGGATGAATTGAATCCTCTGTTTTTACTTCTCTATGTTACAGACTCCCCTTCTTGTCCCTGAAAAAACTATTCTGTTTTTTCTTTTCTTTCTTTTTTTTTTTTTTGGTGAGGAAGATTAGCCCAGAGCTAACATCTGTTGCCAATCTTCCTCTTTTTGCTTGAGGAAGATTGTTGGTGAGCTAACATCTGTGCCAATCTTCCTCTATTTTATGTGTGGGTCACTGCCATAGCATGGCTTTATAAGTGGTGTCTAGATCCACACCCAGGATCCAAACCTGTGAACCTTGGGCCACTGAAGTAGATTGTGTGAACTTAACCAGTATGCCACTGGGCCAGGCCTTGAAAAATTATTCTAAATGACTAAATTGTTGAAAGAAAGGGAAAAGGAAAGGAAGAAAGGAAGGAAGGAAGGGAGGAAGGATGAAAGGAAGGAAGAAAGAAAAAGCAAAGAGGGAGAAACCTGACATTGAACAGATTAATAATTTCTACTTTAAATTATTGATATAATAAAACCTAAAATGGAAAAGAGGAAATAATAAAATATGCTGACTTTACCAGTTTTATTAAGCCTTTCTCCTTTCTCTGTCTCTTCTTCTCTCAGGCTCCTTCAACTTTTCAATATACAATTTATCAACAAAAGACATTTTTCAATGTTCTTGTCGTCGAAATATTCTCCCTGGCATTTAGATGAAACTTTGCAAAGAGACCTAAAAACTTATTAGATTCATTCTGTTTATGCTTTGTTAAAGATCATATTAATATGAAAGTTTATTTTGTATATACGGCAATGGTTTATAAATGAGAAGGGTGGAGAGGCAGTTCTTGAGGGAAGCATTTCTTTCTGAATTTTCCTTTACTGTTCTATTGGGCTTCAACTTCTGACGTACATGAAAATAAATTGCACTGTGAACTATTGCATGGGATTCAATCTTAAGAAATGCTTATTTAGTGATTTCACACATAGATCATCTGTATGTGAAAGATTAAGCTTAAATACAAATGAATCAACCAAAACTATATAGTGAATAGCTGAACCACATATTTTATTTGTTCATTCTTTTTTTCATTCATTCATTTATTATTATTGTAGGCAAAGATCCCTTCTTCCTTTTGCAGCCCAAATTCAAAAATGCTGTGGGGCAGAAAAGGTGGTAGAGGTGGCTATGAGAGAATACCAATGGCAGGAGGAAGGTAAGGGGAAGTGAGGTGAAATGAGGTGAGATTAGGTGATGCTGATGATGTGCCAGAATGGAAAAATGTGGAAGAAGGGCTTTGGGACATGACCAGGACAACAAGAGCATCAGATCTCTCCCTTTTTGTCAATTTCAACTTTTTCTCTGTCCTTTGCTGTGCTTAAAACATCCTTATTTTTGACAGTTGACTTTCCAATTATTCTCTTTTATTAAGTTGCAAAAGCTTCTAGTATGTGATTTACCATCTTACTTTACTAACACACTCCCTGAATGTCTCCAGCTTTATGTCAGACCATTTCTATTTTCATGAAAGTTGCATTTTCTCTGCATATACTCTGTGTCTATATATCCTTCCCTTCATTTGGTTACTAACGAGTAAACAGGTAAAATCTGTTCCTGGTATCCCATAAATAATATGATGCATGAACAAACTAGTCATTGATCTACAACATTAAAGATTTATCTTCATTTAGGTGCATGTATAGAGCCTTAAATTATGTATAGTTATGGTCGTATAAAATCATTTAAATTAAGGCCTTTCCAATAATATTTTTTAAACTGGTGAAAATTATAAAATGTTAAAAAAATTCAATTTCTTGTGCTTATACAAAGATGATTTTTATTAAGGAAAATTATCAAATTATATATCATGACAGTATTTGATTTACATTCTACTCTCGTAAAGATCTCTCACAATCCTCTGTTGACTTTATTAATTGCTTCTGTGAAACTTAAGCGGGGGTTTAATAGGTTATTATACTGCAAGGTCTTTTTCAAAGTGGTTCTGTACTTGTTCATCTCAATTCATCCTGAATTTGTGTTTATTATTTTGGAGTTCAGTGTGTATCTCTCTCTGATTAGATTGGAATGTGTTTGGTGTTTAAACTGTTCTAGATGATAATTGGCCTTAGTAAGACAGCATCTAAAAATAAATTCAGAAAATCAAATAAATCTCTAGCTCATTATTCTAAGGGAAAAAAAGTGCTTAATGTTTAAAGGAGAAGCAGCTCAAAACTCTGCCATTCTTTGTTTTCTATCATTTTATGAATCATGATTTTAATATGATTTAACTGGATGTATCACTAAAGATATTTATTCACAATACATGTTTTTCCCCTAAATTCTTTCCGTTTAAGGACACTTCCAATGTTTGTGGATCATACTTTTTGGATTTTCCACTTTTCTCCTTTGGTTTCTCATTTTGTAGACAGTCTAATATTTTCCATAAGATTGACTGTATTTTGTATTGCAGGAAACTAGAGGGTACTGAATGGTCAAAGATGAGGGAAAGTTGCTCACTTTTTTCAAGGTACTGATGGCCCAATGTCAGATGTGTAACCAATGATTATAATAATGTCATAAGAATTGTGGCAGAGGCTTGTAACAGCTTGCATAATAAGCTTGTGGCATAAGGCTTGTCAGAGGAATTCTTCCAAGTTCTCAATTCTAGCATAACACACTATGACACACTCCCTAAAATATATGTTTCATTAAGACCTTAAAATTTCCTTTGTTTAATCTTTCATTTTTTTTCTAATAGTGTAATCCATTTCCATTTATGAATTTAAAATTCATGGTCTTAAATATTCGTATTTGCCCTTCACTGAATGAATCATGATGTCCTTCTTGTCCTTTCATGTTTAAGCTGTAAGAGAATTCACAGAGGGAAAGATAAAAAGAAAGATGGATTAATAGTGGGAGATGTCAGTCAACAGAGTGGCAGGAATGTGCCAGAACTATTCAGAACATAATCACAGATGTAGCAACATCAAATCTCAGCCTTCTAAGCCAATTTCTCTATTGTCTCACTTTGAGCTAAGTTTTCAAGAATAGATAGGACCTGGAGTACAGTTAAAATCCTCCATTCCTGAGGTTTATGATAGATTTCTAATTAATTCATGCTTTGAAAAACATTTACATTTAATTCTTATAAATGAAGAAGCTGACCTATAATTTTAAATCTGGGCATAAGATGTTTGTAAAAGTGTATAGTAGCATGCCAAAATGTCAATTAGGCCAATGTACACCTAGCTTCAGCCATTCAAAATACAGCTATTAATGTAATCAATAAAACAATATTTATTGAGTGCTTTTACATGAGCCAGTTACTCTACCATGTAACTAAAATGGAAACCTTTCTGAAAGGAGCGTAGAGTTCAGTATGAAAGACAAATGTGGTAGATTTGATTAATAGATTTGATTCTACATCTCTTCTCTTATCTATACCCTTCACTACATAAATTTTCCTTTGACTTTGGGTTTTGGCCACGTGGTTTGCTTCGGTCAATGTGATGTTAGCACATGTGACAAAAGCAGAGACTTGAAGTGTCTTCATGTGTTGCAGTAATGAGACATACACAGCTACAAATCTTGCTTGTCTAAGAAAACTGAAAGACACATGGAGTATATCTGGACCCAACTGCAGCATGGAGCCAAGTCCAAGCTAATCCTAGATTGTCTGGCCCCCCGTCCAGTCAATCTTCAGACCCGTGAATGAGAATAACAACTGCTGCTTTAAGCCATTGAGTTTTCTTGTGATTTGCTACCAGCATTACTGCTGTAATGGTTGACTGGTACAATAAAGAGATGTTAAAGTATGGATTATTAAATGCTTTGACAAATACGCATGGATAGTCTGGAGCAAAAAGCAGAAGAGATTTCTGACTCCTTCTGATATACTTAGAGGTTTAAGAATAGAGGAAGCTTCTCTCTTATGCTTTAAAGGTGAAATCACTTTTCAGACAAAGTATGCAGATGAAGATCATTTTGAACAGAAACAATAGCTTGCCAAAGTTATGGAAAGTGTGAAATTGCAGGCAAAATTCAGAGGTCAATATCCCTATATGTCTAGAAGCAAACTATGCAGAGAGTGAAGTGATATAAGATTAAACAAAAAGCATAATTAGTTGAAATTTATATTATTTACTAATTGTAAATACTTTAAAAGATTTACTCATTCATTTATCAAATATGTATTGAGTCTTTATTCCATGCTAGACATGTTTTTAGACACTGGGAATACAGCAGTGAATAAAGTCAGTAGAGGAGGAGTAGACAAAAAAAAAAAAAAGACAAATCAATAAATAAGATAACTTGAGCTAGCAATAGATGCTACTAAAAGTCAGAAAGACTGGTGTTTGATCCTATGCTGTCACATAAAACAATAGTACAAAACGTAGTGGCTTAAAACAACAGCTATGTTGTCATCTCTAATGTTCTGTTATTTGGCTCGGCTCGGCTGGGCAGTTCTGATGCATGTGATATCAGCTAGGCCTGTAGTCCTCTGGGAGCTTTGTTAGGCTGGGGACGTCCAAGATGGCTCACTCATAACTTTGTTGCCTTGGTAGAGATATCTGAAAGATTAAGATTAGCTGGCCTGCTGGAACCACTGGGTCCGTCTCTCTTTCCATGTAGTCTCAGGGTCTTCCCTACTCCACATAGTCTCTGTACATGATCTCTCCATGAGATCTCTCTAGCAAGGAAAGATTTCTTACATGGTAGATCAGGGCCTCCAAAAGTCCAGAAAAAGAAGTTGTCAGATCTTCTTAAGGTATAGGCCCAGAACTGGCACAGTGTCCCCTCTGCCACATTCTGTTGAATAAAATGAATCCCAGGGCCAGGCAAGATTAGATGAGAGAGGAGACCACACAAGGGCATGAATATTGGAAGGTTCACTGGAGGTTATCTTTGAACAGTATCTACCACAACTCGGGGTACTGTACCTCACAGTGCGTGATTAGAGAGCACACGTCTAAGGAGATAACATGTGACCTGAGAGCTGAGTGAAGGAGGAGAGAGAGAGTTATGTAACAGTCTGAGAGAAGACCACTCCAGCTAGAGGAAATGCAGGATTAAGACACAGAGATGGAAAGAGTTCGGTGTGTCTGAAGAAAAGGTAGAATACGGAAGACCAGTGTGATTAGAGTCCAGTGAAGGATGGGACAACGGGATAAAAGGAGTCTGGAGGGTTGTCAGAACTGAGATCATAAAGGACTTTTCAGGCTTTGGTAAAAGTTCAGAGAAGGTCTGGAAAGAAGAGAAAGTTAAGAAAAGATTTGGTTTGGTTTTATTTCTTAAGTAGAGAAGTGGCATGATTTGAATATTATTTTTTTTAAAAAAGATCAATATACTTCTTGTATGGAATAAGTATTCTAATAAGAAAAAGGAATAGAAACAGTTTAGGAGGTAATTGCCACCACTAGGCAAAAAGTGTTAGTGGCTTGATCTCAAATGGGATCAATGAAGAGAAAGAGAACTGAACTAAAGAGATCTGAGAACTATATTTTAGAGGTAAAGCCAACAGTACTTGCTGATGGGTTGACATTGGAGGAGAGAGTTTAATAATGATCAGGGCACACAACTGGGTTTTGAGTTGGGTGAATAATGTGTGACAGCCCAGCATTTTTACCCCTTCCTGTGGATGGATAACACTCTACCTTGAGAGGAGAGTCTTGTTCTTCATTAGAAGCAGAATGTGCCCAATATTTACTTTCCCGACCTCTGTCATAATAGCCATATGTCTTTGGATATCTTAAACAAGGTGTTTGTCTCTGACTTTGATTTCTATCTATAGATTTGAAGAAACTATGCAGCATCCATCCTCGAGAGTGTGTTCGAAGTGTCAGCAGCCATATCAAGTTATGAGGATACAATTACTGCAGCAGAAGCACAAAGTGTTTTATATCAGTATAATTGACTCTGTAAGTGACATAGTCTGTCCTTAGCAGTGACAACACAGATGTTTTTAATAGACCACTCTGTGGCATGATTTTGGACATTGTGACTGCTTAAGCTCTGAGCGATGTGCCTTAGACTTTCCATAAAAGGATGAGAAGCATTTTGTTAAAACTCACCCATACAAAGGGTGAGAGATCCATCCCAGGAACACGTCAGGCTCTTCAGTAAAGTTTCTGGGAGCTCAGTGATCTTGGTACATTAATACAAACTATAAGGAGAAGGACAACTTGTCACACTTTGTTCTATCCACCACTAAGAAAGAGGCACAGTGATTCTTTGGTTTTAAGAAGAAATCCATGTCATAAGGCATGTTGTTTCAACCCATTTTCCAGGTGAGCAAAGGCCTTTCAGTTTTTAGAGGGACAAAGATGAATAGAAGACTCTCTGGCTTAAACACACTGTAGTGCAAGCAGTTAACCTTTATAACCCAGACAATAAAATTATCTGCAGCATCTGAAGACTAGTGGAGCCTGTGGCAAGTCTCAATAGGATAACATAGGAATTCTGTAAGGGTTTTCTCTTCTTTCAGTTACTAGTTGAGTCGTGCAGATAATGAAACCTGGCTATCAACAACTATCAACCACAGATGCATGTATGATGTATGCTGTCTATTCTAAACTGAATGCTATTTGATCCACAAACTCATAAATTTAATGTACTTTCTGTGGGAATTTACATATGAGATGATCCCAAGCAGTTACTGAAAGCACAGGTGAATAGCCTGAACAGATGGCTCATAATAACTGTTGTCTGCTTCTCCCATTCTGCCAACTTTCTTCTGTCCTACAGCTTCACACAGAATTCCTTGTGACTAGTTGACTCAGATGGAAAAAAATAAAGCCTTACAGGTGTGACCATATGATATGCTTTTACCTGAGCAAGGCAGAATCTTATGTTCAATATTATGTCCCTGCTAAGTAGAGAAAAGAAATGTCCCCAGTGGGCAGAACTAATGTATGGTAGTACATCAAATCATCCCCCCTGCCAGGAATGCTCAGTGACTTGAGGTAAGGAAATACACAGATATTTGAACAATGGCTAATATATGACTAGAGAGTCAGACACAGGGAAGGAATAATATTAGAAAATTGCTAGTAAAGAGTTGAGAGGAAGAGCTACATTATAGATTGAATTCTATCCCCCTAAAATATGCTGAATAAACGCCTGCAGTCCCTGTGAATATGACTGTTTTGGGAAATAGGGTCTTTGCAAATGACCAGATAAAAAATGAGGTCATTATGGCGAGCCCTATTCCTATATGACTAGTGTCTTTCTATAAGGGAAAAATTTAGACACAGAGACAGACGTACATGCAAAGAGAAGGCAGAGATTGGAATGATGATGCATCTACAAGCCAAAGAACTCCAAAGATTTTCACAAACCACCAGAAGCTAGGAAAAGAGGCAAGAAACAGATTCTCCCTCACAGCCCTTAGAAGTGACAACTCAGCCATCACCTTGCTCTCAATCTTCTAGCCTCTAGAAATGTAAGACAATAAGTTTCTACTGTTTACACTGTCCTGTTTGCAGCACTTTGCACATCAACCCTAGGAAACTAACACAATCTATATGGATTTGCCTCCCAAAGAGTAGTCCTCAGTGTGAGCACATTTATGCTCATATAAGTGTTCAATAGACCAACACTGTGGAGGAAGTTATAATTAATCATGAAGTTTACTTGATTTGCTCTGTGGATGCATCATTTTTTTTTCTTTCAGTGGAAATTAGTGGAGTCAAGAAAAAAGTGGTCTGATGGTACCCAGACATTCCTTCTCTAAAGCTGACTTGGCAACTTCCAAATGTCCAGTATGACAACAAAGATCAATCCACAACCCCTCAATGGCACTATAACCCAGAGATACAAGTCTGTCACGTGGTGGTCGCTTTATGACATCGAACCCCCTTCTTTCTTGGAAGAGGGCAACACCTTAAATTTATTCCAATACTTTTCTTCTGGTGAAAGATTTACTTTCTCTACCAGTCATACTTTTGTAGCACTACCTCTGTGGACATGCTGAATGCTTTATTCATCATCATAGAACCCTGCATAATGTTGTAGTGTAAGAGATAAGGTGATGGGCTGAGGCTCACAGAGTTCTCTGCTTTTCACATGTGCCCTATTCCCAGAAGTAGCATATGGTAGAATGTCTTATTGCAGACTCTACGTTGGAGTCTGCTGGAAATCAACTTGCTCAGTTGGATTGCACAGACTCTTATCCCCCTACCAATATTTAGGGAATATTTGTGGCTTACTTTCACCCACACGTGTTTCTTGCCCTTCCAAATGCCCTTGCATCCAGATCACGGGCACATGTCTTGGATCTATCAGTGAGAAACGTCAACTTTTAACTGTGTATCAGAATCTACTGATTCAAATAAACAAAATGGAATGAAATCTATATGACAAGGATGGGGCAAGCAGTAGAAGCTGCAATAGTTTCTAAAGATAGCATTGGGCACACCTCCAGTATAGGCCCCGTGGCTCTGTAGTTCTTCTAGAAGCATAGTTCTCCTCTGTTGAGGATGCCTAGGAGGGTAACATTGACTGATTAATGTCACACGTCCTTTTTCCCTTTCCTTCCACCTTATCAGATCTTTCATACTTGGATATTTTCAAAAGTGAGAATGTGCTCCCATTTCAAAAGTTGCACCTTGTCTCTATTAACCTTCACTCAACCTGGCCTATTATGACCACCACTATCAAGGAAAGCATATTGGGTATTATAAATATTAGTTTATCAACAACCAACAAAATGAATCTAATGTTGATAATGGCATTGATAAAGAGTTCAAAAAGAACTCTAGGGGGCTGGCCCGGTGGTGCAGCAGTTAAGTTTGCACATTCTGCTTCTCGGTGGCCAGGGGTTCGCCAGTTCGGATCCCGGGTGCAGACACGGCACTGCTTGGCAAAGCTATGCTGTGGTAGGCATCCCACCTATAAAGTAGAGGAAGATGGGCATGGATGTTAGCTCAGGGCCAGTCTTCCTCAGCAAAAAGAGGAGGATTGGTCGTAGTTAGTTCAGGGCTAATCTTCGTCAAAAAAAAAAAAAAAAAGAACTCTAGAAAACTATATAAATCCATAAACAAATTCTACCAACAAGAGAAGCAGTAGAGTATAATATCTAAAAGAGTGGGCTCTAGATCCAAAGAGCCTGGGTTCAAATCCCATTTCCACCTCTTAATTATTGTGTTACCTTGCCAAGTTTCTTGTGTCTCAACACTCCCATCTCTAAAATGGGGCTAAGAATTATACCAATGCCATGGGAGTGTTAATAAAAGTAAATGTAAAAATACACGTAACCTTCTCAAGAAATGTCTAATTCACAATACGCCATCTATATTATCTATTTACATTAATAATTAATTTAAATAAATGCAAAGTGTTTCTTAAAGAGGAAAATAATATTATGAAATTTTATCTAATGTCCTGAAAAGTCAACTATTCCTGCTAAAACATTTTTACTAGCATAACTTTAATTATTTACTTTGAATAGAGAAAGAGTATAAGCACTAACTCTCAATTTACAATGGGGGAAGTGCATGGATGTGAGCAGAGCTGTCTCAGCAGTAGCTAGGGTTAACTCCGTTCCTCTACTATCCATAAAAAAGACGAACAGAAAAATCCCATCTGTCCATATGACAAGTCCAAAACCAGACACCTGTGTGGCAAATACGCATAGCAGTGAGTACCACAGATGCTCTATATTTAGTACAAACCATATGCTCAATGATTTACTTAAATTGAATTGGGAGGATGATACACTATAGAAAAAGTCCACAGAGCAATTAAGGGACAACATGTTTGCCGCTCTCATCTCATATTCCCTCCTTTAGTCCCAGATGTTACAAGCACTACAGAGACATTAGTCAATTTGTTAATTTATTGTCAGATTGTTAAGGGTTTATGAAGATTTTGACCCATTTTGCTACATTCATTTTGGCAGCAAGATTAATTTAATTATAATTGTCTTGGGGACAAAAGGAAGACAGTAGGATATCAAATGTTATATTTGAATGGCTTAGTACTTTCAGCAGATTCTCCAAACATTTGTGCATTCTCAATCTCCAAGTGTGTGATTGCCCTGCAGAACAGAAGGAATAGAGCAAGCTAACAGCGTTGCCTAACTGATAGTACTTGGTTCCTCAACTTTTATATCTGTAAAGGGAAATCCATAAATTCCCTGGAGACTTCCACTGGCTCTAGGATCTTATTCAGGGGCTTTAAATCTATATTATATTCCTATGTTTTAAAAGTTGTCTCTTATGATTTATGTCTCTTATGATTATGAAAATTAAAAAAAATAATTAACAGAGGTATAGCTCAGGTCATCAGTAGAATCCTCCCAACAAAACTTGCTTTTCAAATGTATTTAAAAGGAAAACTCATGGGGTAGGTTTTACTCTAATTTGGTCCACCTCAAACATGTAAACTCAATGATGTTGTTTTAAGACCTGGACTCCTTGAGTCTAGATTTCTGCATATATTAATGAGGACACTCTATGTCCATACTAGTTGACAGGATTATTGTATAGATCAAACAGAATAATTTGTCTGAAAGTGTTTTCAATATTGTAATGGGAAATGTTATGTTGGGATTACTATTTTTTTCACATATCTTTGTATCATCTCTCCAGCTAGACTTCAATTTACACAAGGATAGAGAATATGGTATAGATATCAGTATGATACTAATATAGATAGTTTGAATACAAATTTGGGACCAAGTAAGCACTTATTAATACGCCTTGAATTTAATTGACTTCTACTTACTTAAATACTCTATGTAAATGAAAGTTTCCAGGTACAAAATATAAAGCTCAAAGAAAATAATGATCAACTGTCAAAGAATTTGGAAGAAAAATATATAAATACACGAAGCCAGTGGTTCTTGAAATGTCTTCTCCAGACCAACAGCATCAGCGTCACCTGGGAACTTGTTAGAAATCCTGCAAGCCCTCGGTCCCCAGCTCTGACCTAGTGAATCAGACACTCCAGAGGTCGAGCCAAACTATCTTTTTTAACAACCCCTCCAGCTGATTCGAATGTATGCTGGTGTGAGATCTACCACACTAAGCAATAATAGTATGTTGGAAATAATTGTTTTTGTGATTATGTAGAATCTCCTCCAGGAGTTTGGGTATATGAGGGTCACCATCATTCCATAACAACAATTTAATTACTATACTTTAATGAAGATACTGCACTAAAATCCGTATGAAA